TGGGAATCCCCGGGACCCGGAGCTGAGCGACCTGCGCGGCGGGGAGGGCGCGCCGGAGGAAGGTGAGCCTCGCTGTTCCTCCGGGAGCCCAACACCGTTCCCGCGCCGCCAAGATGATCCCTCCGAGCGGCGCCCGCGAGGACGGCGTGGACGGGCTGCCCAAGGAGGCGGCGAGCGCCGAGCAGCCGCCCTCTCCTGCGTCCACCGGCAGCCAGGAATCCAAGGTACCGCGCGCACTTGCCCCGAGAGAACACAAACTCACTGTCCTTCTCCTCCTTTCTCCGTCCACCTTTGTCTCCTCTGACCTGGCACTGGCGCCGGAGACTGAGACGCGCCCCTGGTTCCACCAGGGCGCAAGGACTCTACCCCCCCTTGAGACGTGAATGTTCGTGATGTTAGACCACGTCCCCTGGCCCCAGCCTGCCTGTCCACACAGACCCGAGGCTTCGCTGGGCTTCTAGCCTGCAAGCCCACGCAGTCCACGCTGACTCCGGGTTCAGAGATCGCTTTCTGGGGTGATGGTGGTTTGGTTGTTCTGTGCTTTGAACCTGCTTGCGCCCAGAGCTGCATAAAGCGGTTTCTAAAGGCGAGAGCTGGACAGCCGCGCTAGTGCAGAAAAGCCAGAGCATGGAGGGCCACATAGGGTTGTGTCTATCCCAGGGGTCTCACAGGGCTTTTGCTTTGTAGGGTTCATGCCTAACTTCGGAGGCCGCTCATTTAAAAAAAAAAAAAAAAAAACCTAAGCAAGCCGCGTTCGCGGGAAAGTTGATGTTCCTTTTGTGGAAGTTAATACTCAAAGAACTTACACTTGCTTTTATGAGAGTGCCACTCGCTCGCATACGCCAACCCCGCAGCACTTCTGTCACTATTACACTTCCTCTGAAACTCTCGTGGGTGCCAGGCACATGTTTGGAAATCTTGGAAGAGGATCAAGTCAAGCGCGCTGCTAGCAGTAAGATGCCAAATGGCATCTCAGCCAGGAGTAGGAATCATAAGATGGAGTTTGTAGTTATATGGATTCGTTAAAGCGGACTCCTGGCTCTTTATCTAGATCTCCTTGTGAGTTCTCCAGGCATCTGTGGAATGTAAGGCAGTGCTTGTGTCAGAGTGGAAGAGGGGGTTGGATGCCAGTTTGGAAGGCAAGTCCCAAGGGATCAACAAAACTTCAGTCCTGTCTCCCTTCATTCACATTCCTGAAGCCATTGATACATCAGGATCAAATTCACAGCTAACATGACTCAGTTTACATGAATTTAGGCATTATACATTTCCCAGCCTTGAAAGGTCAACCTCAAAGAGGGTCATCTAAGACAGGAAGATCTGCATTATTCTTTTAATTTTATTTTTTCTGGGGCATATGTATCAATGTTTCCAAAACTCAGTTGGGGATGGCGGCAAAAGAACCACCTTCCAGAAGCACCATGAGGAACTGTGCTAAATGACCTCAGTCTACCCAGCATAGTGTAGGGACTCAATCAGTATTCACCCTTTTCCTTCCTTACTTGGGGATGGCTCCATCTCACCACAGACTGTCCAATTCCAAGCAGTCTCATGACCCAGAGGTATCAACCACCCCTCCTCTGACAGAGGTCTTCATTGTCCATCATTAACCATCAGTCAACTCATGATACATGTGATGGCCACTTCAGAGGCGACCTGGAATACTGTAAATGAATGTAGCTAAATTCCCGAGTGAGTTGGGTATTGAACTTTTTGAATTGGACAAGTTGCTCTGCATTAGGTGTATTCTGACAGAGTGTAGCATTTGGGTAAAGCACGGTTTGAAAACATTACAGGTTTGCTGTTCATGGAGATATGTCAGTTCCTTGACAAAGCAGAATCTTCATACATAAAAACCATAATGAGCCACGGTTTCATCTGGCTTATAAAGGTTTCAGTTTTGTACATATCTGTTTTCTCAGACTGGTCTACACAACTGAAGTGTGTTTATACACTCCTAAATTTGTGGTCATGGCTTAGGTATTCTTCATCAGTGGAAATGTTCTATGGGAAAGAGCCAGGAACCCCAGGAAATGGAGTAAAAAACAGTGTGCCTGACTGAATTTTTGACGTGGTATTTGTGGTTCTCACAGAGGCCTGAGCCTTAGAAAGGCTAACTGCTGGTCTGGAGGGGTGTGTGGCAAGAAAGCAGGATGGCTTGAAGCAGAAGGAAAGCTGTAGCCAGTCTACACTCAAACCACCATATTTGAAAGTTCACTGGCATTTATGACAATCTTTCATACTAAAGACGAAAGCCTAGTGAAGAAAATGTGAGTAAGTCAGTAGTAATCATCCCACCGTCCTCTCCTCTGAAGCTGTTGGTCTGTCAAAACAGGACATGGGATAGGTGTGGATCAGACCCCTCTGGCATGAAAATTCCTCAAGAAAGACTTTCAAAATTACTTTTCAAGAAACACCTTTTCCCTCTAACTCTAAAGGTAGCAAATATTCTCAGTAGAAATTGAAAAGTAAAGTATTTGATTTACAAAAAAGAGAGAAAAGGAAATTGAAAAGTCCAAACAAAATAAAGAAAAAAAAATCACACATTGGTCATAATCTAGATATTTTGATCTATCTCATATGTCTTTTTAAATTTATTTATAGATTTACTTAGGTGAGCAAACAGGAATATCCATTAAATACTTATATGTAGGCACAATGTTACTTTTAACAATAACCCTATGAAGGAAATAACACTAAGTTTTCCATTTCATGGATCAGAAAGCAGAAACTCAGAAAGACAGGGCACCTCACCCAAGGTCAAATAACTAGGTGAGTGACAGCCGGGACAGAAAGCCAGGGCTGTGGCTCTCAACACCCACAGTGGAACCAACTTCCTCCCATTTCACCTAACATCATAATCAAGTATGTTACATGCCACTAAAAGTCATTTGCAGTAGTGTTTTGGTCTTCTCATCTTAAGAATTTTTTTTTTAAATACATTATCACGTGAAATGATTAAAGTTCCGTGAACAACCAGAATAGGCATTCAGTTGTATGTATGTGTTAATCACCCTGGGAAAGGACCCAAAGCTTATATTAGATCAACAAACTATCTATAGCTTTCAAATTTTACTTTAATGCCCCATTTCTTGAGACCCAGCAGAGGGAATGACTTGCTTTGAGCTCATACCAACAGCTATTGGCAACAGGCCATCAAAGAACCTTGCCTTAGACCTTGGTTACCCCAGTACAATTTCCGCATTGAAAATTCTTGTAAACCAAGTGCTGATATAGTTTGTATGGTTTTCTTTTTAACAAAATTCATTGACTTAAAAGTGTTTGAAAGCCACTAATGAACTTCACCCATCTATCATTCCACTAACTATACCAGAAAGACCACAATGTAATTTATTTTTCAAATGCTTGACAGAGGCCATCAAATATTTTAAAATTTCATCTTTCAGCATCCCTTCCTTTTTTTTTTTTAGATTTATTTATTTATGCATAAATGAACTGGGGTATAGGCCAGAGGTGCTGGGAATGGGGAGTGGTGAGAGTATTCATCAGAGACAGAATGGGGAACAGAACAGACAAATGTACTGAAATAGACTGCTAAGGGGAGCAGTGGGTGGGACAGGAGAGGTCTGCTGTGCCATGTGGGTCAGCTCCTTGTCAGGGGATCAAACTTGTGCTGCAGTGGCTATGGATAGCTTCATAGTACTGGGAACCTGTTGTGCCACCAGGGAGGGACCTCTGCATTCCTTATTTCAATGAATGTCTTCTCCACTGACTTGTTGACAACATAGAAATCTCACTAGAGTCTACTAGGACGTTTGGGTACAAATGCTCTTTACTATCATTTATATGATCTAAGGTCACAAGTTGAAGATGTGGAGGGCTTACAGGTCCTTAGATCAAATAGACAAAAGTTCAGACTTCTTTTTATGAATTGCCACCTCTGTCTATATGCAAGTTGCTAAATTCTCTGAACTTTGGCTTCTTAACCTATAGAAGAGTACTGATACCTAGCATTATGTTGTGAGATTTATCGCTACAATTGTATACAAATAGTCTTCATTCATTTTTGCAAGGTCTGAGAATATACAAAACACCTAACATGTTGTAAACATCTGTAGGCATAAAATACTGCTTTTCCTTCTGCTTCAAATTCTATGACTCAGGTCACTTTGCCAACCCCAAATGCCATCATTGGAACAGTTTAAATAATCAGCACTGACATTTCAATAGAATAACTGGGTTTTCTTCCTTATAAGTTATGCTATTGATTATAGTGAGATTTCACCCTAGCTATTTTGTCCCTAAGAAAATAAGTCATAGATTCACTAGTGAGTAAACTCTGTTTTTAAGGAGTGAATCAAGGACTCAGTGCCCCAGGGAAGCCATTCATTCCTGGCTGCCCCCTCTCAGTTTGAATGACACTCCAAACTAATGAGAAGAAATCTTTAACTGTGAGACCATGCCCTGCATCTTCTAGAAAGATGTCTGTGTCCATCAGTCAATTGCTATTTATTACTATTTATTTATTGCTATTTATTACTATGTGCCCAGTGTATCCCATACTTAATATATGAAGCTCTTAGGGATAAGGAAGTGAACTTCTCAAGGAAGACAGTAAAAAGAAATGAAACAGGGCTCTCCCTGGCAGTGCAACCATTAAACCACAGCATTATGAAGCTCTCTGAAGCCACTGCAGCACAAGTTCAATCCCTCCCACCAGGGAGCTGACCCACATGGCATGGCAGACCTCTCCTGACCCACTCGCTGCTCCCTTCAGCAGTGTACTTCAGTAGATCTGCCTCTTCTGCTCCCCACTCTGTCTTTGGTGAAGCCTCTCACCCACCGCATCTCTGGCCTGTACCCCAGTTCTGTAAACATTAAAAAAAAAAAGAAGAAGAAGAAAGAAAGAAATGGAAGCAGATCACCTGGACAATCCAGGCTTCAGCTACACCTACTAAATTGAAATCTCCAAGTGAGGGTCCCCTGCATCAGTACTATTTTTAAGGTGCTTTTGTGACTTTATTGTGCAGCCAAGCTTGATAAACACTGGTCTACACAGATCACAGCATGTCAAAGAAAGCAAGGGTCTTGCTCCCCCAGCTAAAGTGATTGAAGGAATAATTTGTATTTACTCCCTCTTCTTCCCTTCCCATTTATATTTCAATTCACTGAAATGGTTCTGACAAAGGTAACCTGCTGTCACCAAAGAGTCTTAAGCATTACTCTGATGCTACTGGATTTACAAGGTTGACTGTGTCGTTAT